TGCTTACAAAAGCACTCCTGTTATCCATGATTCCAAGGTTGGGAATCAGAGATAACAGGTCCAAGAGGGAAGCCTGGTTACCCTTCTTTCCAGCAACACTGTCTGGCTTCTCCCGGGGGGTTTCAAGACATTTCCAGAGGATGTAAAAAAAACCTGCAGTGTTCTGGATCTGCCTCCAGTTCCCCCATGACTGGGACTTCTCTGAAGAATACCCCGAGGGAGACAACCAGAACGATGACTCTCATTGCTGAGGAGCAGCAGCTCTGCTCTGGGTTCCCAGTGGATGATGGAGCTCACAGCATGTTTATAGAGTTTTCGAGAGATAACATTTAGTGTGATTTAGTCAACTCCCTTAACCCTCTTTAAACCATGTTGTGTTTACTTGTGTTACATCTGAGCACCAAGAACACGGCAACAATCCACGTAGTTAATGAGACAATCCATGTCGTTGCCTAAAATGAGCCAACCAGTTTCCCTGAGCTCTACGTGGTTTTCCACAAGATTTCCGTTCAACACTGAAAATACTTGATATTTCCTGACCTCACTAGCGTCGACGCCTTTGATGTGTTTTTTCAGAAACTGCGTGAAACACAGTAAGAGTGTAAGACTGCAATGCACACACACACACACACACACACACATGCAGTGGGGGGGTGTGTTTGTGGACATGTTATCAACAAGGACACACAGGGTTACAGTAAGTGGAGCCTGGCAGCAGCATCCAGACAGACCTTATCATTTCTGTTACAATCCGCTGTGACAGCTCTTTATAGTGGAAACTATTCCTAGACCTGGTGGGTCCATTGTTATGGTCCAAGTGAAGTGGAGCCCAAAGAGCCCCACATGACACCCGTGGTCAGTAAACGTGGGCTGACTCCAACTCCTACACCCATCTACATTAGAGATCAGCCTTGGTCTGGCGCTGCCGACTGCTGACTTCCAGACTTAAATCAGCTGATTGTTCTTGTTCTTTCTTTTTAAGCTTTCTTGTTAACATGATGACAAACAAGACAAAAGGAAAACAAACAAAACAAGCAGTCATTTGACTCTTGGACGGTTGATTATCAACCTCAAGTAGACTGATATGAACTCAAAATGCTTGAATAAAAGAGGCATCAAACTTAGCGTATTGAGAATTTTATACATCTCGATGTAATACTGCATGTTGAAAACAAGTGTTTTAAAAATAAAAACATACAGATTAAAGTCATCAAGGTAATAAAAATGCATCCAACTCTAGGCCAGTACGAGTCTGCACACCTGAGCAGTTAAAGTCCCATCAGTGATCACACACTGGTGAAATTCATCTCTGCTCCGTGGGGAGCGGTGGGCTCCAGCTGTGGCCGCGCTCGGGAACTATTTGGTGGTTTACACAGACGTTAGTTCTCTGACCTTCTCATCTGATTGATCTCTTTCTGGCTGTTTTCTACGGATTTTCTCTGTCATCTACCTGCAGGGAGGTCTGATTTTTGTCACCAAAACAGAGCATAAAGCATAAATCACTTCCTTGTGAGAAGATGCCATTGTCTTTGATTTTTATTTTATTTTATTTTATTCTTTTTACTGTGCTGTTTGGAAAAACCTGATGAGCCTTTGGTCTCAGGAAAAGGACTTATTGGCATGAATGAAAATAACGATGTTCTGACCTTTCATTAAATTGATGTAGTATTTCTTGTCAGTCTTGAAAAATTTGTGAAATTCAAATGAAATCAAAAAGCCAATAAAGAAAAACAAGATTTCTCAGTGGAAATCCTGTTTTCACAGACCAGGTACACGCCTTGCTTCCAGCTTTTGCCCTTTGTAGACACACACCAGTCTCAGTCCTGCAGCTGCTTCTGCACATTATGCTCCACACACACACCCCTGGGTCAAAAAGCATCCACAAATGCAGCCACTCTCTCAGTATTATCATTCAGCATCTTGAACAGAATACATAATGGAAGTCACAGCTCTTAAAAAGCCCAACCTGCTGATGACAGAAAGGGTTTCCTCATGCATCGCTAAAACTTCGTTAATGTGCATTCAGTATGCATTGAATCGCCCTGAACTGAACACTAATGTTTCCACATCACTACAGACATCACACGGTGATGCATCTCTCATTCATGGAGCACACCTGAAGGCTGGTGAAAGCAGAGAGGCTGGAGCATCACTGCAGCAGATGTGGTGCTAATTAATGGTGTTTGTTTTATTTAGAGTGTTTACCCAAATATTGGTCACATTTATTACCAACATCCTGCATAATACTAGACGCACAAGGGACTGGGGGCCCACATGTTGTTCTGCAACTTGCGTGGTGCTGTCCAACGAGGACTAATTAGAACCAGAACCGCTTGTGGACAATTAACTCCCCTAACAATTACATTCTATTAAACCTTTTACACTTTCTTCTCTGCCCGCACATAGGTCAGTGGCATTTAACATACAGGGCAAAACGATTGGATAGTCATTGTCAGGCTTTAATGAATTTTATTATTCCCTGTTTGACGTCCAGCTAAAGCCCACAGAATGGATGTGGTCCGGTTTCTGCACAGCTTCTGCATGAATCTAAAATCAGTTCAGTCACACTGGCGCTGTGGGATTCAGATCCAGATGCAGAACTCTAGGAAGTTTCCGCATGGAGATTTTTTTTCCAGATGCAGCATATTATGAAGTTAAAGAAATAAACTAAACTAGACAGGAAGTGAGACGTGATCCAGCGAGTTGCATCTGCTGTGTTTCAAAATGAAGCTGGTGTTGCATCATTTTGCTGGTTTTTGTTTTATTATTGATGATCGAGAGACATCAGTTCACAGTGCATGGTAGGCCACATCATTTTTACATGTATATTGACAAAAGTACTGAGTCAAAGTTCTGATCATGGGAGCAGATATCCGGAAATGTTCAGCACATGGACCTCAGTCAGTGAATGGTTGTCTGTCCAGAAACCCAACTGCTTCCGTACCGCACTGTGTGTGTGTGTTGTGTGTGTGTGTGTGTGTGTGTGTGTGTGTGTGTGTGTGTGTGTGTGTGTGTGTGTGTGTGTGTGTGTGTGTGTGTGTGTGTGTGTGTGTGTGTGTGAGTTTTTGCAGATTTTGTAAAAACATTATGAAGCTTAAAGGTGTGGTTTACTCTTCTAATCAGGACATTTGCAGTGGTCTCTAGTAGTAATGAATGCCTTGTAAGTTGTATTTAAGGGGGTCATATTTCCTGATATTTGGACATCTCTCCCCTGATTGGATGACAGTAAAGCCTGATTCATGCTTCTCCATCAGCTGAGGGGAGACACACAGGCACGGACGGAGATGTTTAGCCCGCAGACCTCCGTCTCCTGGAGAGTGTTGCAAAGCAATTCCCCGCCAGGACACCAGAGGGCATAGCGCTGTTCGGTGGTATCCTGTCATGTATCCGGTCCAAGATAGTGTGTTTATATTGTGTTTTTGTATATAAGAGACTTTTTAACACAGACAAGTTTGTCTCTCCTTCTCCTCCACCTCTTCATGCGCTTGCCACCTCTAAACCCCACATTTCCTGTCATTTCCATCCACAAATAGAACGCGTGCTGCGTATCTTTTCACTCCTCCAGTCACGGGGGAATTGAAACTGGTCCATATTTTTTGTTTTTTCGCGGGGTATTCTTCAAGCTTCTCCGTGTCTGCCGCTAGTTATTCTCGGCTCTCGTTATGTTTTTGAGGGCGCAAGGACGGATAATGGCGTTGCGTGTCTCCGCACTGACGCAGAAGCATGAGTCAGGCTTAAGACGCCCTGACCACTAACTCTGTTTTCTCTGCAGCATTAAAGGTTTCATCTCCACAAATAAAGCCTGATTCATACCTCTCCGTCAGTGCGGATTGTTAAAAAAGTCAGAAAATGTTTTAAAAAAATTTATCCGTGACTGAAGGAGTAGAAAATACGGAGCAAACGTGGACAGAAACAACAGTAAAAGTGGGTTTAGAGGTGACGACCGCATGAAGAAGTGGAGGAGAATGAAGGACAATTGTGTCCGTGTTATAAAGTCTCTGAAATATATCAACACATTAGTAAATACACTATCGTGGACCAGATACATGAGTGTTACAGTGGCAGAATACCACAGAACAGTGCTACGCCCCCTGTTGTCCTGGCGGGGGAATGCTTTGCAACACTACGCTGCCTGCGCAGAAGTTCGAATGTGAAAACCTTTCAGACACTCTGTGTGTGTCTCTCCATTGCGGAGCTCATAAAAATCAGGCTTAACACAAGCCTGGAGGAGCGTCTGCTGTGCGGTAGAGTTGCTAATGGTTAGCTATGGCCGAGATGTTCTCTGCTGTTTCCTGGACGCTAAACCAACAACAGCCTTCCCTTTCTTGAGTCCTGATGGGTGAGTCTATGAAGGTAAGTGACAGTCTGACGTTAGATCTGTGAGCCTTTTCTAATCCTAGAGTTTCACCGTTTATTTTCTATCAGCAGCTAAAACAGCAGATAGGAGTAGGAGACTATTTTCATGTTCAGCCTGCATGAAAAACTCAGTAACAGATTATAATCAGAAATAATCATTAACATGTTTATTCAGCGAAGCAACCCTAAACCAACTTCAGTATTAAAGCTACATTTAAACGTTGCTTGTGCTTTATTTTACTCCTTTTCACACAGATGTGATCTTTACCTGAACTTGCTGGAATAAACAAACAAACCAGTTCGGTATAAACTATAAATCAAGGTAAACTGGGATGAAAGAAACATTTTGCAGTTTAAACACTTTTATTTCTGAGCTGGTTCATTGGACTAAACACGGGTTTTGGGTGAAATTCTCCAAGTAAAGGATCGATAAAACAGACTATTACAACAGAGCGATAAGGGACCCGAACTGTTGTTGCTGGGTTTTAAAAAGCTTTCCTGAAATATTATCAACAACACATCACATCAAGCTGCTGACAGGTCAGAAAAATCTCCTAATGCAAGCGAGCAAAGTGTCAAATATAGCTAATAATTACAACAACAACAACAACAATAATAATAATAATAATAATAATAATAATTACCGGTGACGGACCAGAACTCCGCTGATCGTGTCCGGCAGCGCAGCTCATCATCTGAGCGGTTATTCCCTCCCAGATCGTAGCTGTAATCCAACTTTCACTTCAGATTATTTCCTAAACCGCAGCGGAACTTCTGCGCCCCGCTATCAGTCTGGGTCCTACAGCAGGAATGAGAGGAAAAGAAACGCGCGCGCACATGTGTGTGTCGGCACTGTGACTCTGAAAGTGTGTGAGCGCGAGCCGCTCCGCTCCTTGAAATCATGTGACGTCACTGGACGAAAGGAAGGTGTGTGTGTGTGTGTGTGTGTGTGTGTGTGTGTGTGTGTGTGTGTGTGTGTGTGTGTGTGTGTGTGTGTGTGTGTGTGTGTGTGTGTGTGTGTGTGTTGTTAAAAGTACTAAGAGAGGCGTTCACCTCATTTCTCATTGACAGAACCATTTGGAGGCAAACATCAGAGAGCTCATGTTGAGGTCTCTAAACAGTTTTACTGGATAAACGGATTATTGTGCATAAATATGGAAGCATGAGATCCTCCTTTATCAACAAGGTTTGTGCAGAAAATTATTACAATCAGTCAAATGTGAGGCTGATGGGAATGGGCGAAGAAAAAAATAAATAATTAGTTGATGAAATTTTCCTTTTAGCTGCATAACATAGAGGTCACCACATTGTTAATAAATGCTAAACATCGACACAAGATGACGCTTTATTAAAAGCTTTGGAAATCCTCTGAGTTTATACAGCTGAAGAGAGATTGGTGCAGAACTTCTAATATGAAACCTTTGCAGCTACAGAAAGAATTTCTGAGTCATTTCAAACTTTTACAGCATTCATAGATTCTCACAGCTCAAACACAGAAACGTAAAGACTCCTCTGTGAATTTTAAAAACCTTGACGGCATTCAGTGTGCTCCAGTTCTCTGTGGGACATTCATCTCCCCTCGCTCCATGAAACTGTCCCCAAACTGATTGATTAATCTTTGGCGTGGAATGAACACCCCCAGCATGAACAGATTATTTCAGCTTGGCATTTCAGCAGCAATCACATCAAATTTCACCCTTTGTTGCATTAAATAATGCCCCCCCACCATAAAAAAAAGAAATGCTGAGCAAATGAACAAGTTCTGTTCGGTTTGGTAAACTGCATGGCCTTGTCCCAGAAACGGCCGTTTTGCACAACTTCAGCTGAGAGGACATCAGAGCCAGGAGGGGTGGGACAAGGGTCAGATTAGAGACGGTGACATTTGGAGAGCTGGGTCTATAGGAGCTCACACACACTTCTAAAATGTATAAAGAGCCAACAGAGAGCTGTCCCTCCTACAGCTGTTCAACGTCTAATTTGCTCTCAGAGTTCTGTGACAGACTCAGCTTTGGCACAGACATTTCCATGAAGAAGTGAATAAAATATGAATCTATGCAGTAAAGTGAACTGAACATCTCCTGAATAAATGTCCTCCTAACAACAGACTTTTGTTATTGCTGCAAAGGGACGTTCTTGCAAAACACACTATTGAACCAACTATTGAATGTGAACTTTGAACATAAAGAAGGTTCAAGAACCTTTTTTTGTGTCAATAAGTGCAGTGCAGATGAAGCTGTGGTCTGTTTAAGCCCTAAAACATCCATTTGGAGCCTCATTTTTAGAAGTTTACCCATTTAAAAGTAATTAATAGTCTCCTATATACTTCTAATACTGGTGACAAAAGCACCATAGGTTGCAAGTGGCCAGTGTCAGCAGGTCAAATAACTCCACGATCTTGTATTTTAAACAACGGCATGCTGCCGCAGCAGCTGTTGGTGAGCAGGGCGGCAGCTCCTGTGACTTCTGTCCACTTGGTGTGAAACAAAGTTATACAAGAATAACTCATGACTGATGTCGAAACTGCTCTGGGCTCTCTGGAAATGTAGCCACACACACTATTCTCTAATAGTACAGCAACATTACCTCTATATTACAATGCTGACACGCACCTAAATCAGGTGCAGCCCCTCCTTCACACACACACACACAAGCACGCACGCGCGCACGCACACACACATTTCCTTCTGTCCCCTGAGGCATAACATCGTCCACAAAAGCTTGGACCATTTAAAGGAAACCTGCTGCTTATTTAAAAACGTCACCATTTTTAAATGATCCATAATTATTTATTTTGAATCGTCGGATGATTTCACACCAAACTGCTTTTCTCCTTCTTCTCCTTGATGACATGAGGTGACAAGATGAAAACACACTGAATGTGTTCACATGATGCTCCATAGTCCTGACTGGAAATAAGGAGTTGTAACATTTTAACCCAATGACAGAAAAAAAATATGTTCACTCGTTTAGTATTTGTGTTTACAATCTTTATAATGTTTACATGTTACATTAAAGTCGAGTTTAAGGCATGAGTGGGATCCAAACAGGCCCTTGAGCACCCGTCCTGGTTTTGGGATGTTGGCTGTGTGCAAGGACAGGAGGAAAGTCACAAAGCAGCCAACCGAGAGAGCCGGTGAGTTTATCCCAAAACGATCTAACCAGCCAATCAGATGGCAGCAACCCGCTGATTTGATGCATCTGCTGAAGACCTGCTGAAGGTCAAACCAAGCATCAGAATGGAGAATAAAGGGGGATTGGGTGAGTTTGGTTATGTCTTGGTTGTTGTTGTGATTATTTAACAAACTCCTGAGCGGCTGGGATTTTCACCCACAACCCTCTCTATTGTTCTAGAGAGTGGTTAAAAAAGAGAAAACATCCAGTGAACAGCAGTTTGGGCTCGCTGATGTCAGAGGTCAGGGGTCAGACTGGGTCGACACTTCAACAACAGCTGGGCCCCAGACACTCTTCAATAGCTGCTTAACCCTCCCACCGTCTTCATGGACGACCCCGCGAGGAAAGTTGACCGTTGAGCAGGATTGATGTCCCTTGGGTCCACGTGGCAGGGGTGAGGGGTGAGCACCACCTCGCCCCTCCCACGTGGACCTCAAGAGATAAACCATCAATCCTGCTCAATGGTCAACTTTCCTCGCGGGGTCACCCATGAAGACGGTGGGAAGTTTAAATCTGTTGGAATCCTTTTGCCAGTCCTGATGTGAAAAAGATGTCAAAGAAAGAAAAAGGAGGCAGAGTGAAAGGACGGGCGGTAGACTGGTTTCTTTTGTGAGTTTTGGTCAGATGTAGCAGGGTCTGCTCATCCCTCAGAGACACACTTGAGTCAGAACATTCACCTTCATTTGGTTGGGCTTGTCTTCAACATGAAAGCACGCTTATTCAAATGGAATCACTGGTTATGGTTCGAATCTGCTAGTTCATTCAGACAGGATCAGTTTTTATTATGTAAACTGAAGTTTATCACATTTCTTTGCTGTTGTCTTCTGTATAAATTCATCTCTTTTGTTTTGTTGCTTTCTAACTCATTCAGAAGCTGTGGAGCATTAGATTAACCCCAAACCTGCCGAATCGATTCTGATCAGTTTGACTTCTGACATATAATCAACAATCTCACTGCTGCTGCAGTCGTGCAAATAAAGCGATGTGAGTCCCAGCAGCCCGAGTGTCCGTGCACTCACGTGAGGCCCGGGGCATTGTTTAGCTAAAGCTGCACTTCTGTCAGGCTGATCGGGGAGGAGCTGATACGCCAACAGTCATGTCGACAGGCCATCAGCTGTGCTATCACCTCCAACAACAGGCTGGCAGGTTGATGCTCTCTGGAGAGACCTCTTCAGAGAATCCCGTCAGAAGATAGCTCTAATCACAAGTCAGGACTCCCTCTGTGGGGTTAAGTAACAACAATACTGGATTCTGACACCTGGAGGAGTTTTCTCATAAATAAAGAAGAAGCTTTTGAAGAACTGCCCCTACAGAGGGAAGCATGTGAGGAATCCGTTTTACTGTTTACGTCTCAGAGAGGGCGTGTTAAGTTAAAATCTAAATATATTTGGAAATGTAATCGTAAATGAACTTTGTGGTTTGAGCGGTTCCGTGAGTTACTGATGTATTCACTGTCGGACTTCTTAAAATAAACTATATTTGGACCCATTTGCTTTCTCTTGTTTATGCAGACAGACAGAAAATATAGTGACGACTGACATTTTCTACCACAGTGTTGAATATATCTCAAAAATGTTTTGTATTTCAGATATTTTATGTTTTTCTGCACATTTAGTACAATGGAACATGATTTGAGTGCAATTTGATGCAAGACAAGGTAAGAAAGATTTTCAGAGGAAATGAATACAGTGGCTAGAGAGGTTTTTGAGCCTATAAGTTGTTCATTTCAAACATATACACTATCCCATTCAGTATTAAACATTTAACTGTAAACAACCATCCAAATGATCTTTTGCGTGAGTTCCTCTTTAGGACAGTGATAACAAAACCTACTAATCTGATTTTTCCTTCCTCCTTCCACTATCACTGATGCCATAATCACATTTTAACCCTCATCAAAAGCACGTTCCTGTTAGTAGGTGTTTTGGAAATCAGAAGAACCTTCCAGTCTTCTTTAGAGGTTAAAGTCAAAGCGAGTTGTTAATATTTTAATACTCTGATTTATTTTTCTCCTGTAGACGGAGAGTTGAGCAGGTCCAACACTGTTCTCCTGAGAACAGCGGCAGGTGTTTGTTCCTGCAGAGCAGAGGCACAAAAGGGTCGTGTCACAGAGCTGGATTGTGTCCCTGAAAGTAAAAATAGCCATCTGACCTGTGGCGTTATCTCTTCATTCCCACAACTACTGGCAGTCATTTTTGCTCCCACTCAAACCTGAAGCAACGCCGGCTCTGCAGCCCACCCTGCAGCGCTTGTAATGACGGTGTTTGTTGTTGAGGCAGCGCTGATCCTTCTGGCACTTCTCACCAACATTTTTTATTTCATTTATTTTATTTGCTGATTTAAAATTTTGGTTCATTTTTCTGATAAGATGGAAGAAACTTTTCATAAAGAAAGAAAATGTACTGAACATCTCAGGCATCATTTAACCCGACAAGTGGTGTTTAGGAGTTTACGTAAAACAAGTCCTCATTAATAAGATAAATGGTGTTCACAATGAAATTAGATGATGCTGTGTGGGTAATAATGAATGTGTTTGCTCACCTGGTTCAGCTGAGTGAGGACCAGACCAGAGCTGCTCCTACAAGAACAATTCCCATCATTTATTTTGTTAAAATCCTCCAACAAACATTTTGCATAAAATCTGATTGAATTATAAATAGAAATGTTTGGCACATTTCTGCTGGGATTCATTTGATATGAACACAAGTAAATGTTA